CAATCCAAGAAACCCATGCGGAGCTCCGAAAGCGTATGGCTCCCAGCCGACTGCGTTTCGTATTCTGATCCCCCTATCCTGAGATGGGCTTCTTGTTGTTACTGGGACGCCTCCGACTCACACTCGCCAGCATCTTCCTGCTCACAACCGATTCACTCATACTCAGGCTCACACGCACGAGCACTCACTCATGCTCAGACTCTCTCAGACTCGCACCTACACCAAATAGGACTCACTCACACTCGGGCTGACCCACACAGACACAAGCGTACTCAACCCTACACATACAAATGTTCACTGCCACCCAGAAGACTCGCTCACACATAGACCTACTCGCACTCAGACTGACACGCACTGAGACCCACTCACATTTAGATCCTCGCATTCCTGTCTATTGGCGCGCGTTCCTGCATCGCCGACTTCTCTCTTCAGGTGATTCAATGCTCACCGCGATATAGCCGGCGTGGCAATTACCCCCCATCCCTCCCCCCAAGGGGGAGCCGCCAAGGGGTACGACACTCCACCGTTCGCGCTCAAATTATGGAGATGCCTCAAGCGGTGCGCGCGTTTCGGCACCGTTGTGTGGTCCAATGCTCACCGCGATATAGCAAGCGTGGCACTTGGGCCCGACCCGAGGGGGAGCCGGCAGGGGGCAGGACACTCCACCGTTCGCCTCCAGAGTGTGGGGATTTCTCCAGGGGTGTGCCTGTTTCAGCGCCGCCGACATCTCTCTTCAGGTGGTCCAATGCTCACCGCGATATAGCAGGCGTGGCACTTGGGCGCCCCAAGAGAGAGCCGCAAGGGGGTAGGGCACTCCCCCGTTCGCGCTCAGAATGTGGAGATATCTCAAGCGGCTAGCGTGCTTTGGCCCCGCCGACACTTTTTCTTGATGGTCCAGTGCTCACCGCGATATAGCAGGCGTGGCAATTGGATACCACAACGGGAGCCGCGAGGATGTAGCACACTCCCCCGACGGCGCTCAGAGTGTGGGGATGCATCAAGCGGTTGTTGCGCGTGTCAGCCTCCCGAATTCTCTCTTCAGGTGGTCCACGGCTCACCATAACAGGCATTGCATTTGGGCACCCGAAGGGGGAGCCGCCAGTGAGTACGACGCTCCCCCGTTCGCGTCCAGCTTGTGGGGATGTCTCAAGCAGCTTGCGTGTTCCAGCGCCGCCGACCTCTCTTTAGGTGGTCCAGTGCTCACCGCGATATAGCAAACATGGCAATTGGGCACTCCCCGTTCGGGCCCAGATTGTGGATCGTGGGGATGTCTCAAGCGGTTGTTGCGCGTTTCGGCGCTGCCGACACCTCTCTTTTTGGTGGCCGAATTCTCACAGCGATATAACAACACCCCAGGATGGAGCCGTCAGGAGGTAGGACACTCCCCTGTTCGAGCCCAAATTGCAGGAAGTCTCAAGCGGTTTGCTTGTCTCGGAGCCGCAGACCAATCACTCTTGGTGGTCGAATGCTCACCGCTACGTAACAGGCGAGGCAATTGGGCACTCTAAGAGGGAGCCGCCATGGGTACGACTCTCCCCCATTCGCGCCCAAATTGTGGGGATGTCTCAAACGGTTTGCTTGCTTCGGCGCCGCCGACATCTCTCTTCTGGTCGACCCGCCCGTCGTCCACTCGGACTCGCTCTCACACTGAGATACAGCCAGACACTCACAACGGGGCGTGCCAAAAAATGAGATGCACGTATGGGGGCTCTGCGTAACGTAAATGTCGATCTCCTAATTCTCAATAGTAATGTTGTGTGTATAGTCATCGTTGAATCTTCGCCCAGCCAATCCGACGAGCTCGTGTTGTTCGTCTGGAACTCCTGGCCAAACTGGGACAGCAAATACGCCGACCCTAGACTCAGGTCGGGAATGTCCTCCCACAGGCGGATTCTTTCAAGGAAAACCAGCAATCGTCGAACAATCGACAACCAAGTAAGAAGAGCACGAAACATCGTCACCAGATAATTCTTTACTATTCTTGAAATATTCCTCCTGTAGGGGAGCATGCCCGACTTTACCAGAAAGACCCAGGAAAGGCCCAGCCAGGACCCGTAATCGATAAGTCGGATCGGTGGTCGAAGTGGATCGGATCGGCGGAAATCGGCAGCCAAGTCGGGAAATGTCGAATCGGCAGAACCCGGCAGGGATCGGAAGGCCTCCATTGAGAAATCGGGTCCCAGATTGAAGTCCGAAATCGAATCGACTCGGAATCGGAACCCATCTAAAAATCAAACCGAATCGAATCGGAGAGAAGTCGAGATGAGTCCTGGAGATGACACAAGAGAGCGTGAGCACCATGCCGTAAGCGCCAGGGGCGAGAGCAAGGTTCCGACTCCCCAGTGGGGCAAGTCCTCCTACAAGCGGATCTTGGAATGATAATGAAAACATCACCAGCATAATCTTCGAACACATTGACATGGAAAAGAGCACGATAAATTGTCCCCTGACTATTTTGTTCACCATTCTCGAACATTCCTCCTATAGAGGGACACGCCCGACTTAACCCCAGTGCAGGTGTGCGGCCAGCTCTCCCCGAGTCGGCAGCGCGCCGCTTCGACGAAGATCACTCCCTGTCTGCGCTGGGGCTCATTACGGGGACAGCGCCGTCTGCCAGGCCAGAGATGTCGCTGGCTTTAGGTCGAGCATGTCCTCCCACAGGCGGATTTTCATAGAAAACGGTGTATATATAAACACAAACATTGGACAACTGTCAAACAAATCGTTCCCAAACTATTGTTTCACTATTTTTGAAGACTCCTCCTGTAGAGGGACATGCCCGACTGAACGCTGGCGCTGAGGCGGGAGCATCAGGGACGCCTAACTTCGCGCTCTCGCGCTGCGCGAAACGCGAGGCGCGAGCAACTTCGCGCTCTCGTGCCGCCCCCCCAGGGGAGAAGGAGAAGGAGGAGGAATGGTAACCGAACCGCGAAGCGCGAATAACTTCGCGCCCTCGAGGGCGCCCTGAAAGCGTCATCCTCGGTCAGTCAGTAGTCGAAGGAACAACTGCATGAATATAAACCTTTAGCGCTCCGCGCGGATTTCTTGGATCGGCGCTGTGACCCCCCTTTGGCGGCGCCTCCTGCGCCGCCCCTGGCGCGCTTCGCGCGCCAGGGAGGGGGGGTCAGCGCAGGTCCAACAAATCACGCGGAGCACCGCCATTGTATGATTTTTTGGAGTCAGGGGCGCGGCCAGCGCTGGGGCGACAGTTCCACCCAGGGACCTGGCACTGAGGTGAGAGCAATTTCCAGTTCATGATGTGGCCAGCACTGAGGCGAGTGCGTGGTCCCCATGAGAGAAACGGCTGGAGCTGGGGCGAGAGCCGCAATTTCAATCAGGGATGTGACTCGCAGTTCAATCAAGGATGTGGCTGACGCTGAGCAGACAGCACAACTCCGAAAAAATAGGTGGTTGGCGCTGAGGCCAGAACGCAAGTTCCTATCAATGATGTGGCCCGTGGTGAGGTGAGCGCTGTGGCGAGAGCACCATTCCCAATTCCTGTCTATGGCCCGCGCTCAGGCGAGCGCGCAATTCCCAGTCTGGGGCGTGGCCAAAGCGGAAGCGAGAACGCCACTCTAAGAAAACGGTGTGGCCAAAATTTGAGCAGGGATCGGCCGTCCCAGCATTCCTATAGGCGTACCACGGAATCCTCTTGGAACCAAAGAAGCCGAAGTGCTCACATACGACGATCTCAGGCAGACATGGTCCAGGAACATCCCGCGCAAACCACAAAGAAACAGCCCGCGCAATCCTGCAGGATCCTGCGCCCAAGCCAAGGTCGATGCAACCCTGGCTCTGCATGATCCTGCAAGATCCGGCGCTCTGACTGACCCCCGTTTGCATCCGTCTCTGGCTGGCCATCGCTCGGACGTCCATTCCCTGTGCTTTTCTCGGTTTCGTGCGCGGTCTTCTTCGCCAAATGATCAAGGATGCTCCTCGATGGTATTCGCAAAAGGAAACATGCACACGTCCGAGCGATGCCAAGCTGGAGCCCCGAGCTCATCTCGGGCCGCCAGTGTCAGCTGTCGCCACGGAGAGGGCCGGACGGCGATAAACGGGGGGGGGCGGGGAGGAGACAGGTGCTGTCCTCGGGCCCTGAAGGCCCTCCTCCTGGGGCCCTGGAGGGCCCCTTGAGGGGCCCCAGAGCGCCCCGTTCCTGCAGCCCTCGCTGCCTCCCCCCCCCCCCCGTGCACCGCCCCCCCCGATTACAGTGGAGGCCAGTCCACAAGAAACCTTCCACAAGAAACCCAACCCTGAGACCCCAGGACGTCCATTGATTTTTGGCGCAGGAACGTCGCGCTCCCCATAAAGAACAATCGAAACTCAAGAAACCCAGGGCACCCTAAAGGCAAGCAGGGTGTTTCTTGGCATGGGTCTCATGTACGCTTGGTGTCTGTTCCATGGGAGCCTACGTGGCCCCCAGCGCTGCCCGATTTGGGTTCGATTTGGGCCACATTTGGGACCAGATTTGGACCGGACTCGCCCGCTCACAAGGGAGACGCAAAGAAGCACGAGGGGGAGGAGGAGCAGGGAGGGCGAGGATGAGCAGGAGACAGGACCAAATGCGGTCCAAATGCAGGAAAAACTGATTTCAATGTCGCCTCCCGAAGCTCCCATCAACAGACATCGAATGTACGCAATCTCCGAACTCCCCTCGGGTCGCCCTTGCCGGCCGTCACCGCGGAGCGGCCGGGGGGGCCAGCCTTGTCGGCGTGGACGGAGCACACGTCGACGAAGCGCACCTCTGGGCGGCGAGCTCCAGGGGCTCTCTCTGGGGGCACAGGATGACATGCTAGGTTACTACGTGTCCTCCTCAAAGGTGTGCTTCCGACCCGAACATATACATCACTACGTGTCCTCCTCAGAGGTGTGCTTCCGACCCGAACACATCGTACAGCCACCTTGCAGTGCGGTCGAGCCGCTGTCCCAGGGAGCACCAAATAAAGAACGAGGCCCCTTTCTGTCACATAACTGAAGCTTCGATGTTCGGCCCGCGAGGGCTCACGTCGGGCCGGCCCGCGGGGCGGGATCTCGTGGGGCGATGGGCCCAGGGCAGCTCTGGCGCGACGGCGAGGGGTGTGCGGCCAGGGTCGCAGTCGCAGCGCAGTCGGGCCGCTGAAGATGGAGCGCTTTTCGTTGGGGGGAGGGGCTCAGTGCTCCTTCATGGTTTGACAGCCTGCCACGGGGCCGCAGAAGGGCCTGGGCTCACCCCTGCTGGCGCGGAGCCCCATTCATTATTGTCGGCCCGTATCATGAGGTTGCGCGATAAGTCCCCCCCTTCCGAGGAAGCCAGGACGAAGATAGAACCTGGAGGATGGAGGATGTCTCGCGCACCGCGGCCATTTCAGAGCGTTCCACAACGCTCCGAGAGCGTTCTGGAAAGCTCTGGAACGGATCTATCCTCGTCCTAGCCCCATCCGAGCGTTGCCCCTGAATCATCGCGGCTCTACTGGCCCGGGTCAATCTAAACCAGGGTCAGTCGGGCTTTGCAGAATCCCGCAAGATCCTAAAGGATCCTGCAGAAACCTGCGCCCTAGCCAAGGTCAATGCAGCCCTGGCTCTGCAGGATCAGGTCAGATCCGGCTCTCTGGCTGACCTCCGCTTGCACTGACCCCCGTCCCAATAACAGGGGATACGTCGACCCCTATCCCAGTCTTTGGGGGTTTCCGAATGGATCAGAAACTTTGGGGCCCATCCCTGGGATGTACGACGGGAGGGGCGTCCATCCTCGCTACAGGGGCGTCCGAATAGCCCCCCTTGGGGTGTACCCCAGGGTATCCTCCTTTGCTGAGCAGCCTCATTTTTCAACGAAGAGCCGGGGGCTGGGGGAGAAAAGTCGCCTGCGACCCAAGTACGTAACAAAAAAGCGTCATAAACATAAACTTGTGGCGCTCCGCGCGGACTTCCTGGATCTGCGCTGGACCCAACTCCCTGGCGCACGGAGCGCGCCAGGAGCGGTGCCAGAGGCGCTCCCGTGGTGCGCCCAGCGCGGATCCAAGAATTCCGCGGGGAACGCCAAAAGTTTGTGTTTATGGTGTTTTTTCTTCTCCGAGGGATAATCAAAAATTGGGCGGCATCGAACCAAGTGTTGAAGTAGCAGGTGGTGACCTGGGATCCCCAAAAAGTCACCGCCGGGTTTGGGGGCACGGGGTCGCCGCCGGGCTTTCTGCCTCCTTGTCCCACCAGCATGCGGGACATACGCGAAAAAGCACGCGAGTCCCCCACACTGGGTGGTGACACCAAATCGCCCGAGACTCGCCGCCGGGTGTGGAAACGAAGAATGACATAAACATAAAAAACTCTGAGGTCTCCGCGGGTCTCCGAGTTTAGATGCTGATGCCATTCTTCGTTCCCCCAACCACGCTTGGGGACTACCAATAAAAATCGCCCGCGACCCAATTGAGCAGGAACCGACCGTCCGGCATTCCTGTAGGTCTACCACGACATGTTCCCAGAACCAAAACATGTCCTCAGAACAGAAACAATGTTATTAGAACACAAACCCGATGTGCTAGAACAAGACAGTCGCAGCCAGAAGTGTTCTGAGAACATTTCGTGGAAACCAGAAAAGGCTCTTAGACCATTCTTTGGTGGGCCTACAGGCGAGCCAAGACTCGCCATCGCTCGGACGCCCATTCCCTGTGTTTTTTTGCGGTTTCGTGCGTGGCTTTTTCGCCAAATGATCAAGGACGCTCCTCGATGGTCCTCGCCGAAGGAAACGTGCACACGTCCGAGCGATGCCAAGCTAAGACGCTTCGCCACTGCTTGACCCCAAGCTCCCGGAGAACGGCGCAGGGCCTCCCCCACGCCGGAGATGATCACCCGCAGCGCCGGGTGGGCGTCGCCCCACGCCTCCGGGGTGCGGGCCAGGGCCCGAGGCCGGCGGCGGCGCACGGGGCGTGCCGCGGGTCCTCGAGACCCGTCGAGGACAACGCCTACAAGCATGCATGCGCGGCGGGTACGATATCTACGCGCACTTGGTGTGTATATATATATATAAACAAATCTGCGAGTAAAACTAGAGCCGTACATACATATGTATATACACACAGACACATGTATACACACATGTGAACGTGACGCAATGCGAATGTTGATGGCTGGTTCCAATACACACACATATATATATATACATGCGTACTGTGCCGTGATTAAAGATTGCCCCAGTTTGGCGGGTCGGCAAAAGTGCATCCTGCGTCCGCAATGCGAGCACACGTCGCTAGTTACCCCGCTAGTGACGTGGAAACTGGTACAATGTTACGGGGGGGGTGCTTTGCAACCGGGGCGGGGGGCAATCTGGAATTTGGTACCTCCATTCAAATGTTATGAAACTAAACGGGATGGCGGTTCGAAAACGGAAAACCGCGAGGGACATCCTCACGCAAATGCTTGTTTCGACGGTTCCAACTCAGTTCGAAACAACGGGATACGGTCTGGAACAAAAGCAAAGCGAGCGTCTCGCGTGGGACTTCCTCCAACATCAAGCGTCAGACCAGGTTCGAAACAATGGATGGCGGTTCGAAAACGGCAAACCACGTGGGACATCCCCGCACAACTTGCTCTATTGACGGTTCCAAAGCGGTTCGAAACAATAGAAATCGTTAGGTAGTACTTATCGGGCGCAGGCCGAATCCAAGAGGTACACACCGACTCTCTTGGAAGAAATGCGCGTGTGGTCGCATCAGTCTCGACTCCTATCGCAAATCCAATGCACATTCGTCCAGTTCACCCTCGCTTCTGCTGTTGGGACCAGTTGGAGGGAGGAAGGGTGGAAGGACGAGGCAGGAGGCGATGTGGCTACCACAGGCATCTGGGTGCTGTCACTGGGAGACTCGTGCGCTGCTGGGCCCAAACAGCACTGATTGCATCTCGGTGCAACCAGCTCCACATCAAGACGACACCGATGGAAACACCCCCTCATGCCAAAACAGCATGTGGATGCATCGTAACCGTTACTTCGGTTGTAAACCAACAGACTTTAGTCACTGTGTCTATATATCTAAACACGTTTTTATATCTATATATATATATAAAGATATACGTCCTTCTGCCTTCAACTTCGGCGAGCTTGCTGAACGTTCTCGGGGTGCCTTGAGGCTGCTGGCATCTCCTTTGCGCCCCAGGGCGTCCAGAGCCCGCTCTCGCAGCACTCCAGGGCGCTCCCGCAAACCCCCCCTCGCGATCGTGTGCAGACCCTCCGCGGTCACGCGCGCGCTCGCTCCTCCCCCTGGACCTGCGCGGTCCGCTGCCTCCTGAGCATCGGGCGGGCCTGGCCTCGTCATGCCACTGCCGCCGCGCCTGAGGGGAGGGCCGCCGCGGGACTCGTCATGCACGACGACCTCGGCGCTCTCCGCCCCAGATGACCTGGCCCGGCGCAGTGCGCGGCGCGCCTCGAGCACTGCGCCGCCCTCGTCGCCGCGCGCCTCGTCTTCGCCAGCGTAGCCCGGGAAGGGAAGGGTGGCGTAGCGCCACCGTCCGACGTGCACGACCGCAGCATCGTACGTCCCCTCACCATGGTTGCAGCTCTGATGCCCGTACACTCGTCGAGCAGACATGCATCACTAGGCTGCCCGCTGGGTCGCCGAACGCCTCCCTGAAGGCACGCCTCGGCGCAGGCTTCGCCGCGCCAATGCACACCACATTGAGCATGGCCGGGTGCCGCGGCTCCTCGGGGTCGTGCCGTATCCCATCCTTGTCCTTGGCACCCTCCAACACCTTTTGAGAGTCGCCAGGCGCTCCGTCTCGACCTCGAGGATCGGTGGTCGGCCCTCCCTCGGCCCTGGGCGAACCTCCGCCAGGAGCATGCCGTACTGCCGCTGCGAGGCTGGGCGCTCCGCACCGCGGCGAGGGTCGGCGACGGACTATCTGATGGGCCAGTTTTCCACCACCACTACCATAGGGGGGAGGAGGAGGAGGAGAAGGAGGAGGAGGAGGAGGAGGAGGAAGAGGAGGAGGAAGAGGCCGGGCTCCCCCCGAGCGAGAGCGCCCCTCAGCGCGGAGTTCCCGAGCCCCGTCGCCGACCCTCGGCGGGGCGCTCCGCCTCGCCTCCCCAGCCACGGCCTCTGCACCGCGGCCAAGGGAGGGCCCTTCTTGCCTGGCCCGTGCTCTGCCGCGGCGGGGCCACCCGAGCGTCCGCAGCGGCCCGCGCCGCCTCCCGCCGCCTCGTGGAGGACCCGAGTCGCCTGCGAGCGTGCTCACCCCGCGCAGTACGGCCTCTCCCGCGGCCTCCTCGGCGCCCAAGCTGGGGCAGACGCCGGGCGCCGCGTGGCTTACGCGGCGAGCGGGGGGGGGGGGGAAATGAGAAGGAGAAGGCCCTCTCAGAAGGCGGCGGGACTTCTCAGAAACCCTCGCGCCTCCTCAGAAGTCTGTCTCCGGGGAAGGCTCAGAACACTTCTCAGAAGGCCTTCTCCTTCTCACTTCCCCCCCTCGCTTGCCGCCTATTCCTCCTCGGTGGCACCACTGGCAACGGGCCTCGCGCTGGCAGCGCGGAGCACGAGCCCCCTCTTCCCGCGAAGAAGACTCTTTCCGAGAGAGGCTCAAGTCCGCTCGCAGGCGGCCGCGCCCGCGACGGTGCAATGCACCCTGCGTCAATCCAGAAACTAACTATAAGGAGCTCGATGCAGCAGAGGATCGTTGCACAAATACACATATATGATGGGCTACACAGTTTCATATTTAACCACTGTACCTATATGCATATAAACACAAATGTATGTCAAATATATGTCACTAACTCGAATAAGTAGATCCATACAAGCATGTAACACATTTGTACACTATAACTATAACTGTGTTATAGCACACATAGATACCCATACGCGTGTACATATACATATACATGTGTATATGTATGATTATATGTACATAAGATTGTGGACCTGCTTTTAAACCTAAGCATCTAATCATAATCAAATATAGAGTCATAGATATACACTATACATACATATGGCGACTTCTCGTGTGTTCTGACACTTTTTATTGGTCCCAAACTTACCCCAACACCAAGGGCAACCCAAGCAACCGCTCCGTCAATCATTTACACCCGGGTCACCTCAAGTCAAGGCATCTCGGAGCCAGGGATTCCGGGATGTCTTAGGCGAAGCGGGCCTGAGCACTTCGCGGACCACGCCCTGGAACCCAATTGTGCGGACGTCTCAAGCGAAACGGGCCAGAGCACCTCAATTAAGGGAATCTCGCAATAGCCCAGGGTTCGGAGCATGTCTCAGGCAAAACAGGCCTGAGTACCTCGCGACGGAATCCAGACTTGTGAGGATGTCTCAAGCGAAACGGGCCAGAGCACCTGGCGAGCCGCAAACCCACAGGTGTGAATTGCGAGGATGTCTCAAGCTAAGCGGGCTAGAGAACCTCAAGTCAGGGCACCTCGGAGCCAAGAGCCCATGTCTCAAGCGAAACGAGCCTGAGCACCTTGTGAACCGCATCCTCAAGCGAGAGTTGCGAGGACGTCTCAAGCCGAACGGTCAAAGCCACGGATTCCGAGGATGTCTCAGGCGAAACGTGCCTGAGTACCTGGTGAACACATCTTGGAACCCAGAGTTGTGAGGATGTCTCAGGCGAAACGGGCCAGAGCACCTCAATTCAAGGCATCTCGAAGCCTGGGATTCTGAGAATGTCTCAAGCGAACAACGTAGTGAGGATGTCACAAATGAAACGGAACTGAGCATCTCAAGTCAAGGCATCCCAGAAGCAGGGGTTGCGATGATGTCTCAAGCGAACCGGGTCTGCACACCTCGTAAACTGCATCTTCAATCCAGAGATGCGAGGACGTCTCAGGCCAAACGGTCAGAGCCAGGGGTACCGAGGATGTCTCAGGCGAAACGTGCCTGAGTACTTCGTGAACCATATCTTGGACCCCAACGGTGAGGACGTCTCAAGCGAAACAGGTCAGAGCACATCAATTCAGAGCATCTCGAAGTCTGTGGTTCCGAGGGTGTCTCAGGCAAAACAGGCCTGAATACCTCGCGAACCATCTTGTAATCCAGACTTGTGAGGACGTCTCAAGCAAGACGAGCCAGAGGACATCTAGTCAGGGCATCTTGGAGCCGGATGTTGCGAGGAGGGCTCTCTGTTGGCCATGGGGCGCACCCAGACCTTTTGAGGCTAACGCCTCCCAGACAATGGGCCTCTCGTAGAAAGCGAGGGCGGCCGCGGCAGCGTTGGGCCACATCGGTCTGTGAGCTTCTCTCGTAACTATAGGCAGGATCCCCTCTTCCTCCTCTTCCTCCTCCTTCTCGTCTTACAGTCGGGCGCTTCTGTTTTCGTTTCGCAGTCGTTTGGCGCCTTGTTTTCCGTGCCTCTTTCAATAATTATTGAAGGGCTGCCAATTGCGCGCTCTTCTGCCCACGCGTCCTTCCGGATGCTTGGCTCTGTGCTGGTGGTGGTGGCCTTCCCAGCACCTCCCCGGCACCGCCGTTGGGGTTGCTGGGGTCGCCCGAATCTGTCCCGGGCGACCTGGGCACCGGGGCTCAGGTGCACCGTCCCCCTCGCCAGCCAAGGCAAGCCCTGATGGGGCCCAAACAGCCTCAAAAGCCAACCGAAGTGGCCAGCGAGGACCATACGGCTCCGAAACACACCTCCACCCCGTAGAACTAACGGACCATTCGAGACATCCTCACAATCTGGGCGCGAACGGGCCCGTGACACACCCTTCCTCGGCAGAGCACCAGCCCGCATCACCAGGCACGATCGAGCCTTGTCCAACCCTGGCGACGAGAAGTGCCCCGAGAGCATTGACAACAATACTATTCTATTTCTGACAGCAATACGAACATTGTAATTGTTTCTCCCCCCTGTCCTCAATCATCCTGTCGCTCCTCCTGCACCTCCCCCTTCGCTTCGCACTCCTGAACGTTTGCTCTGAACTGCGGGGGCGTCTCATGCGAAACTGGCTGGACCCCTCGCACGCGGCATCTCTGTGCCCATAATTGCAGGGACGTCCCAGGCGAAACAGACAGGATCACTTCGCGGGCGGCACCTTGAAGCGTAGCGCAGCGATGATGTCTCAAACGAAAAAGACGAGGCAACCTCAGGTTACGGCATCCCCGAGTCACTGGGATGTTTCAGGCGATATGGGCCAGACCACCTCTCGCGTAGCGTCTGGGAGCCCAGGTTCGCGATGATGTCTCAAGCGAAGCGGGCCAAACCATGTCAAACCTGGTCGTCTCGGAACGCTGGCTTGTTAGGAGGTCTCATGCGGAACGGACCGAACCACCTCAACATGTTGCCAATGTCTCGACGCGCGGGCCCCTCGGGCGGCGTTCGTTCTTACCGCCACAATGCCCCCCGGCACCGACCGGGCGACCCTGCAACAATCCAAGACAACACTTATTGAACGGAAACAAACGAGACATTTCCACTTATATATTTATAATGTATACAAATACATGGATGCGTATACACACACTCGCACACCTACCACCAACCTTCCCACTCTCGCACGCCTCCGCGAGGGTCGACCTGCTGGTTCCACACTCTTCCATAGACTCCCCCCACACCACGTACTCCTGGCTTCAGTGTTCAGAGCATCGAAATAAGGATTGAACAGCGTGCCGAGCAACGCCGCATGATAGGTGGGGATGGGAGAGCGGAACAGAAGTGAAACATGTGCCTCTTACTAGGGAATCACATTGCAGATTCACCTGGCAGGTCCTAACTACCCCGAATGACATCCGAATCACAGCATTCGTATGAGCATGCGTGGCCCTAGCAAGCCCAGACGAACTGTGCGGTCTGGGGAAGCCTAGAATGGGAAGAACCGCATGCCCCTTTCCACACTATCTCTACCTCGGCAGCCTGGACATGTGAGAATCGGGCTCGGCCTTGGAGTCCAGGAACATTGAAGATCCGCTCACCCTGTCGGCGTGTGTGATTGGCTTTTTCGCTCGAGTCGGGCGTTTCTGTTGGATTCGTCGTCTGCGTCCTCGTCTGTTCCATTTGCCTGGGCCCTCTCTCTTCCTCATGCGCGCCGTCCAAAGCAAAACTGAACAACACAGGAGTGGAATCGAAGGAAGCCCCTTCCCTTGGATCCCTTCCCCGCGCGGGGGGCGGGTGGGCCAGGAGGATCCCGGGGAGGGTCCCTGGGGTTCCGGGGGGTATCGCCACCCAGATACAGCAGGTTCGTGCCGTGACGACCCCGGCGTTGGTTTCTGACACCGCGTGGATCGTTCAACCTTGAACGATCGGCGGCTTGAAGATCGCCCGATCGTTCTGTGTAGGCCGATTCTGGGCCACTGGCGGCGTCCAACCTTGAACGCATGCGGCGGGATCGCCGCTGGTCGACACGACACGAACCTACTGTACGCTTCCCCGCCGCGCGATTCCGAAACCCTCGCGCGGTTTCCGCGCGGTGCCGGAACCCCCGCCCCTCGGCCCCAGGAGGCTCCCAGGAGGCCCCAAGAGGCCCCTCAGAGGCCCCAAGAGGCCCACAAACAGGTCCCCAGGAAGCCCGAAGAGGTCCCCAAGAGGCTCCCAAGAGGCCCCCCAAGAGGCTCGACTTCCGAAGAAAACCCAAGAAATACCCCTGAGGACTCTGGCCCACGTTAGCGTCGTCGTCGTTGCCGCCGCCACCGTTGTCGTCGTCGTCGCCTCCCATCAGCGTCGGCGGCACCCGTCGTAAGGCCTTCCCGATCCGATGCCCCCTTGGGAGGAAGTTAGAATCGCCCGGCGCTGCCCAACTTCAATCACCTGGCAGGCCTGGAGTTGTCAGAACATGATGCCCTGCTACAACTCTTGGACCTAGAGGCGTTGAAGGTTAGGCCAATATGCCCGTGTCATACTTTTCGAGCGGGTGATGCCTGCAGTGGTGAGGAATACATGCCTGTGCCACCCATGCCACACTTTCTGAATCTGGAGAGTGCGCCCCACGTAAGATCATTTACTTCACATGGGTAGTAAGGATCGGGCGCTGTGGCGTGCGCTACATGGAAAGTGAAATGTGGCCAGCGCAATCTAATCTCATGAGGATGGTGAGGATCAGGCGCTGGAGGAGCCTGTGCAAATTAGAATTAACCTGGCGAGGGACCCAAACCTTATCAGCTTCATACAAGGCTAGTAAGAAGCCTCTCTATGTAAGGCCCGTGTGAGGGAGATGCCTAATTGGTTTGGGGGACGCATGCAAACTGTCCAACTGGGGCCATATGTGGAGCTCCCATGCGAAGACACGATACTCTTGAGAAGTGCACTGCGGTGGGCGGCACCGCCATGCGGACTCTCCCACTGGGGCAGTAGGTTGAGCTCCATAGGACCACGATCCTCGTGAGTGGTGTCGAAATCAGCGGCGCCGCCATGCGGACCCTCCCACAAGAGCCGAAGGTGAACCCCCCATGAGGCCACAGTCCTTGTGAGGGGTGTGGCGAAATGGACGGCGCGGTCGTACGGTTCGCCATGTGGGCCTTCGGTGGAGCTCCCTGCGGGAACACGAAACGTGCGAGGGGTTTACCAGACTGGGTGGCGTGGTGCCATGTGTCCTTGCCTGGTTGGGCCTTCGGTGAGGCTCCCAGTGGGGTCGCTAAACGTGTGAAGGGTGCGGCTTCGCACGCGGATAGTAGAGGCAGGAGGAAAGGGGAGGCAATGAAGGAGGAGGTGGAGCGTGGCGCTGCTGATTCAAAACGAGGGCCCCTCGCACACATGGCGGTTGGGAAGTACGGAACACATGTTTGCCCACACCCTACGATTGCACAGGGGTGGTCAAGATCAGATCCCAGAACGGGAGCAGGTGACCCCGCTGGGGAGGATTCCGCGAAAACCACGTTCGACTTCCGTAAGAGCCCTTTCGCTGGTAAGGAAAGATGTACTGGAAACGAGCCAGCATCACCAGACTACTGAAGAAAGCTGTATCTGTGATGAGAACCCTGAAGTGGACAAGACTGTCTCAGCTAGCTACACCCATGCATGGGCTTGGGAAGGCATCGAGTGCTGACGCACTCAAAGACGGAGAAAGCGCGAGTGAATCGTCTGAGAGACCACTCAAGTCTGTTCTGAGAAGGCGGCAAGCTCTGCACCAGTCGACGACCATCACCGATGAAGCGGGAAGAACCTGACACGTCGCTGGCCAAAATAGGCTCATTTAGTCGCATGAGGGAACTTCAGACTGCTGGATGCGATCCTCGTCACCACGCACGGCAACCGGTGCCAGTTGTGTGCCATTGCCTCCACCAGATTCCACTTTCGCCTCATGCCGCGCATGGCAGGTACGTCATTCTCGTACGTATTCAGCGTTCCTCGTGTTAGTCGTTCCTTCGAGTCAGAAGATAGTCCGCACTCACATCCGATCTGATGCACTGAGCCCTCACATACCCAACGGCTGAAGAGAGCAGTGGCGCCTGCAGCTCCTCCAAAATGTTGGGATTCTCCGGCGTGACCTCCGTCCGAAAGCAGCAAAGCCAGGACCATGCATAAGGATCGCGCACCACCCTGGCTGAAATCAAACATACCAATACCGTTACTCCCCAGACCTCTCCTGGGTTTCGCTCTGACCCCGAATTCGAGGCGAATCCACCCGTGGAGACGAGAGTAAGGTTACTTAACAAATTTGTATAATTACACGATCTTCCTCTCAAGTCCGCCAACTTCCCAGACCTCCCGATGCAAGTGCCCACATGCGACGGAACAGGATTCGCAGAGGCAGCAGACACTCTCGGAGGACAGCCGATTAAGACAACGGCGGCCCTATACAGCCCGGTCCAAATCCGCACATACTCACTTCCCAGAACCTGCCAGAGTTTCTCTGGACCCATTCGAGGCGGATACAGTTGTGGCGACGGGGCACGCCCGCGCGTGGGTCACCCGATCGCGCGCGCGCGCGGAGGAGGAGGAGGAGGAGGAGGAGGACGAGGAGGAGGAAACAAAAATCTCCGCGGAAGGGGTCTCCGTTGTCTCGACCGGCCCTCCTCCGACACACGCGTCTTGCCGCGCGAGGCCGTGCGCACAGCGGCCGCGGGAATTCTCGGCGCAGGGTGCGGGCATCGGCAATGTTGTTCGTGTTTTGTCATGTTCGTTGGTGTTGTCTTCGTTTCGCCTCTGGCGCACAACGAAACTGAAAAAAAGGCCAACGAAATCGCCAAAACTCTGCTTAGGTCGAGCCCTGCTTAGGTCGAGCCCTGGCCATGCCCTCCCTGCGAAAGAGAAAAAGGCCAACGAGTTAATCGCATGCTAAAGAGAATCATCTCCAAGGGATGAAATAAAATTCCTGGTCCAGACGGGAGAATGAACTGTTCCCGGAGATATCGATGTACACATGTCTGGATCGGTCTTCAAGATCGGTCTTCAAGAGGAGGAGGAGGAGGATGCGGAGGAGGAGGAGGAAGAGGAAGGGGAGGGGGGAAGGAGGATGCGAAGGGAGGATGCTTTCGGAAAACACAAGGTTTCGGCCCTATCGAATTCGCTGTGTAAAACCAAACGATTCGTGGTGACTTTCAACTCGTCGTAAAGGAGTACTCATGATCGCTGGTTCAGGCTGGGGGCAGAGGAAGGAGGAACGGACAACAGAGAAGACAAGAGAATGAGGAGGAGAGGAGGAGAAATAAGTTAGAAAGGAGGAGAGGAGCGGGAGAATGAAGAGCAGGAGGAGGTGAATACGAATAACTAAGGGAGAAGAGCAAAGGAATAAGAGAAGGAGGAGGAGGAGGGAGGAGGAGGGAGGAGGAGGAGAAAGAGGAGGAGGAGGAGCGCCGTGCATGAGATGAAGATCAGAGCTACGATAGGAACTTTGGAGGGGATATTTAAGTTCGGTCTCCCCGCCGGCTGTTTCAAGTGAACCACACTCAACCCCGTGGATAAAGGGATACACGTGGAGAGGGGGGATGCTTTACTACTCGCCGTCCAAAGCCTCCCCCGTAGAACGAAGGAGGTCTCGAGAGAGGGGGGGAAGATCGGAGGAGTTGGAGAAGGGGAAGAGAAATGCCCCAGGGGAGGAAAGGGAATGGGGGCGAGGAGGGCCGCAAGGGGGAGGGGGCAAAGGGGAACGGGGCCCGCTCTTGCCCTCTGCCCCCGACCTGCTGCGCGCCCTCCCTCTTAGACGAAGCCAGGACGAGGACACGCTCTCAGGTGAGGATGCACGTGGAATCTCTGAGATCTGGCGGCTCTGGAGGATGTCTCGGGCGCCGCGGCCTTCCCAAAGCATTCCGGAGAGCTCTGAATGAAGGGGCCCTGGGACACACAAATAAATGCACACAAATAACAGGATCCCCCATATTTTCCGTGTTTTTTCTTCCCACCCACTTCCCATATTTTCCAATATTTTCCTCGGGGTCGACGATTCGTTGTGTCTGTGTGTGTGTTTCTTTCCTCCTGACTGAAGGCGTTCTAGAGCGCTCTGGAGCGGCCCTGTCCTCGTCCTGGCCCCGCCCGGCTTCCCCTCCTCCTCCTCCTCCTCCTCCTCCTCCTCCTCCTCCTCCTCCTTTCGCTCATTTCCCTCGTCCGCCCTCCCCACGACCTTGGCGATGCATGGAATGCGGTAGGGGTCGTGCTCCACCGAGCCATGAAC